CACCTTCTGGACTCGAGCTCTGCGTAACATCTGCATCACCACACAGTTATGTAGTTGTGTCGCACATTTTTCTGTTCGGGCTGAAACTGAAGCAGCCGCTTCAACCCAAACAGAAAAGGAAATGCATCAGTGAAATGCTGTAATCATACTGAAATATTGAAAATGTGCTTAAAACTCATATCACCATTATTAAATGAAAGTATATCGCAACATATATTGATATCGAATTATTGTCCAGTCCTACTAAAAAAAACTAAAAAATTTGAAGTTTGCTGCCTTTTCAGGACTTCTACAAATATCCATGGGAAAAGCCATAATAGACTCAATAGTTTTACATCAACCAGAAAAGATTATTCTTTATGTGGCCATTACCGTTTTTGCTTCACATTGTGTGTTTAAGTGCAACTGATACAACAAACTGTTGCACAAACTATTTTGTTCCACTTACGCTTTTTGCATTTCGGATCTGATGTTGATCACGAAACAACAATTTAATAAATCACAAGCTTGTGCACTGTCCTCAGCATCCCCCTCTTACAATCTTTGCTTCACAGCACCATAACACCCCCCCCTCCCAAAAAAAAAAAAAAGAAATCCCACTAAACAAGCTATACATAACATCACTGATAAACTTCCCATTGTTTCAAGGCTTCTATAAATATCTAAATGTTACACTAACAGATATGGGACATAGCAATGTAATTAATGGTGTTTTGTGTGAGGAAAGGAACTGTGTGAAGGTACGTCACATTAAACTGACAAGACAGAACCCCCCCCCCCCCCCCCCCCATGTATCTGGAGAGGCTGGCAGTTACCCAGTCTTTTATAAGCACAGGCCGTGGACTGGTTCTGAACTGGTTCCCTCACTTGGGGCTAGCCTGGGACCAAACCCTGCGTCACCTCTAATTAGGGGAGGCGCCCGGGAACGGGCATAATGAGCTGATGAATAATTAGAATTGGAGGAAATTGTGCAGCCAGGGTGGCAAATCTGGAGGGACAAGTGCTGAAAACAAGGCAAGCAGCATTAAGTCCACAGTCAGTCAAATCTGTGAAGTTGGCCAGCGGCGTTAACACTAGGGCTGTGTGAAGAGGAATAAAGCTCCAGCACTGGTGGGCAGCCAAGGCCATAGTTGGACCCCCCAGGCCTGATTAAGGGAAACAAATAGGATGAGGGTGATAAATTAATCTACAAACTGCCATTGATGAATATTTATTTTCTTGTTTTGTTAATACTGCAAGAATGCAATAAAATGAGTAAAAGGATGAATTGCTTTAATGATAAAACAAAACATGTGCGTGAACATTTTAAAACCTCAGTGAATGATTAGGAGTCATATTTTGCTGCAAGTACCGTTTTTTTTTTTTTTTACTTCCATCCCCAAAGCTGCAGAAAAATTATCCTAGCAGCTATTTATTTCTAACAGAAGCGTAAATGTTAGCCACATTATGTGTAAAAGTATAATTACATATCACACAAAGGGTAATACAAGCACCTGCTGTGCATTTGCATCACGAGTTTTCAAGTTGTGAATTTGCAAAAGTGGAACGCTGAATCATTGATGGAGAGGCGGTAAAGTGAGGTGACAGTAATGATGATGGGGTGTTAGCAAACTAGCATTTAAATGACACAGTTTGGGTTGGTCTTCTCCTCCCCCTCATTATTATGCATCGGGTCAAGGCTGGCGTGAGAGGGGGTGAAGAGCACTCCCCCGGGTCAGGGATTTGATTGGGGGTAGTAGCAGGGGAGTGACTAGGACACCCATGAGGGTGAATCCAAGGATTGTGCCCCTGCAACAATTCCTGACAGCTAACGTTGTTGCCCTGCGTTAATTAGTGCTGGCCTTCCCCCGTCACCAAGGTTGTTCACGTCCCTGGGTCATTTAACACGCTGCCTGCTTTCTGCTTGCTCTTTTCTCTGCCAGCTGTGCATCTGTGTCTGGCACAATGGAAACACATCCTGCAAAGTGGGCATCAGACGTGTGACTTTTATGTTTTCACCTAGTATGTGGTGGCCTTTTTTGTTTCGTCCCGAGTTTGAAAGTCGGTGACATACAGTCATTCATTGGTGAAACACAAATTTTATTTTATGGCTTAAAATAACTTCAGATCATATATGTCATATTATCCAAGGGTTTCGTTCACTGGGGCTTTGCCTTTGACAGCACCTCTTTCATATGGACTGTGTAATGGTTATACAATTGATTCCCACATACTCTCTTACAATAAAGTATAATATGAGTTTTACATTTAATACTGCTAGAGCAGTGAATGTGTTAAGAATTCCCCCCCCCCCCCCCCCCCCCCCCCCCCCCCACACACACACACAGTCCAGGTCTTTAGGACCCATTGTTTTAAGTCAGATCACCGCTGTGCAATTTTCAAACATCTCTTTTTTCTAGAAAAAAGTTGGTGGCTCAGTTGGTAGAGCTGTTGCCTCTAAGCAAGAAGGTCGCCGGTACAAATTCTGGCCAGGGGGCCTTTCTGGGTGGAGTTTGCATGTTCTCTTCGTGCAAGCGTGGGTTTTTTCCGAGTACTCCAGTTTCCTCCAGACCAAAAACATGCATGTTAGGCTCATTGGTAACTCTAAATTGTCCCTAGGTGTGAGTGAGAGAGTGAATGGTTGTTTGTCTCGTTTGTCTCTATGTGTCCCTGTGATGGACTTGCAACCTGTCCAGGGTGTCCCCCACCTCTTACACAGTGACTGCTATGGGTACCAGTGAACCCCACAACCCCAAAAAGGAAGAAGCTGGTAAATATAATGGATGGATGGATGGAAGTTTTACAAAATAGTTCTGGCTTGAATAAGTTTTCTTTGGTCATTCAAGTGTGACAGGTTTACCAGTTTAACACTTATAAACAAATATGACCTACAGCAAATATTAAATAGGGGCAGAAACCTTTTGGGAAAGTTGCACAGTGAGACTGCTGCTGCTGCTAATGACAGGTAGGCTCAATATGTGTGGGACACTGTGCCCCAAGGATCATGACTGGGAAACAATGTCATAGGTTGGATTCAAAATACCATACATACAGGTGATAAGGCTTCATGTGGAAAAGAAGAGGAAACATTAGGGAAAATTCATGCATAAAGTAAAAGGGCTTTGCTGAACTAGATGCTTTACTCCCCTTTATCAAGTGTTTTCCTTTTTTCCTTTCTGATTACTTCAGTTATTTTGCTTTGTGGTCATCTTTCTTCTACTAAACTGATTTTTTCCTCAATTTCCCAAAGCATTCACATAAGGATAACATGTTTTTCGTATATTATAGTCCTATTACACAACTGGCAACATCTGAAAACATGCGGTTAAAATAATAAGCAGTCTTTGTGCAATGTGAAGCAGAAAACAGGACCAAATCATGCAATGATAAACACGACTTTTTCCCTTTCCCAATCTTCCAACTCATTTGAACTTAATGCTGCATTCATCATTTTGATAAGCATCAGCATGCAGCCAATATGGTAGTTGAGGACAGCAGATAGGAGCGCGAGGCCAAAGCTCGTTAAAGCCACCTATTATAACATTTAGGGGTGTTCTTAATAGGAAAATGCCTCAGAGCTGATGGCTTTTAAAAGGAGAGGAGATGTTGGCTTCCGTGAAGCACGTCATATCATTAGCCACAAAAGAAGGAGTGCGGAGTGTCTCACATCCCTGTTTTCTGTCCCTTTTCCACATACATTAGTGTCCTCATGTCACATTTCATGTGTAGTGGAAAGGAAAACGCGTTGGTTCCCCTGCCGAATGTGGGCTAAGGGGAAAAAGCTAAGCCTTGGGCAATCAAAGCAGGAGAGAGTTGTGGCATTAATGGTGATGAGTAGTGATCACAGACTCTGGTCATTAGACTAATAAGACTGTATTTAAATTAGCCAAGAATAATGTTTTCTTTTTTCTTTTTTTTTGCTTCACCCCCTCCACCCCTCCTCCAGTCCTTCCTGTTATTTTCATAGTCATGCATTGGAAAACACAAATTTTATCAGACTTCCTTCCCTTCATTTCCTCAACAAACAAACTAATTAATGAGGCAGCCTTTTTAAATTAACAATTATTTTCTGTCTCTGAAGCAGAATAATTTTGTTTTGGCTACATATTTAACATCTTAACTAGGGTTTTTATTTATTTATATAGCTTTTTTTTAACAATTATTTTCACTAAGGAGTATGTTTTTGCTGAACTAGGACAAAAAACATTTCAATATAGAGAATAAAAAAAGAAATAATGAAAAAAAATGTTGCCAAATAGACTATTTTAGGTTTAAAAAATGTCTTGAAATCATCTAATGGTAAAAATATACAATGACTCACCCGCCTCTTATTTATTCTGGTAATAAAAATCATGCAGCGCATATTCTTTCCTCTCAATCAGTTGGCATTATTAACACAATTTATTTCTGCTAAACGTTTGTAATAACAATTTCTACAGAATTTGACACAAAATAATGAACACCGTAAGAACTCATTTACAACACAAATGAACTTGGAGAACATTTAACAACAATTACACATAAAATTCTATACCATTTCTTATATGTAACCTAAAGGACAATATTTCAAAATGATATTTATCTTCTCTGTGAGCCCATCAGTTTGTATTAAGGCTTGTAATGCCACACGAGTTGTGTTACTGCAGGTAAGACAACGTAAAGGTCGGTCAGTGTTTAAGCCATTTCTTGGCTGTGTGCACAGTAAAACACCAAAAATTCTGGGCCTTTAACTGTGTACCTCCAGTGATAATGTGCTTGATTTGATCTAAAACACTCATTGCGATGAAAACAAAGGTACAAGCCCAGAGCTCACTGGTTTAACTCCCTCTGGTCTGATACTTGGGGAGCTCGTGTGATTTTGCAGGCTGATATTGACCCTGGCAGGGATGGGGTACCTTTCTTGTTCTCGCCTCCCTAGACATGTCCAGAGGGTGTCTGTTGGAAAGGAGGAGGGGCGGTTGTTTAGGAGAAGGTGCTAGCTGGGAGTCAGTTTATATTGTGCCTTCCTATGCCCCATTCAGCTCTGTGGTGACCTTGCTGGGCCGCTTTGCCCACTGGGGAGAACAAGGGAAGAGGAAGTGGAGGGTCACGATCCCTGCGGTGCACGTGTTGTACATAGATGCTAACACAGCCTGACGAGGGTCTATTGGAAACATATTCTTTGGGCCCTCACCACTTTATCCCACTCCCTCCGTCTATTTCTGTGTTTCTCTTTGACCCCCACAGTGCTCAGCAGTGATAGCTGACCTTTTCTTTGACACTGAATTATTCCACATAGTACCATAGGATCACTGTTTACTCACCCCTGGCTATGCCTTTAGAGAAGAAAAAAAAGTTCCTACACCACAGCCCATGCAGTCCCTGCTCCAACCCCACCACACACACACACACATATCTGTAAGTCTTTTGTGTTCATAAAGTGTGATTGTGCAAGTTCACTCAGGAGACAACTGCAAAGAGTTGTTTGAATGCATAATGAACAAAGCCTTATTGTTCTAAACCAAATGGGAATCTTCATATAGTCAAAGTCTCACACATGCTCCTGCTTTCATGAGCTGGAAATGTCTCTTACAAGCTCATAAAACAGTATCCAGCCTAAACAGTACAGATGTGTTTCATTCTTAGCATGCACCTCCCCAAAACTCTACGTATAAGTTTCTTTGGTCCTTTTGTTTGTTTGTTATTGGGAGATCATAATGTTCCCCACCAAAGCAGGAGGGGATCACCATCAAAGGGGACCACGGCTGTGGATGGAGTAGGGTGTGTGTGATGCTCCAGTATTTTTTTTTCACAGTTTAATCTTGCATCTGGAAAGTGTAAATCAAGACTCTGTATATGCTCAACTCTGCAGCCCTGACAGATTTATACAGCACAAGCTTGTGTTTCTAAGGCTCCAGAGGCAAAAAAAAATGTAAACTTTCTGAAACAGTTTATCACACTTACCAGTGTTGTTTCAAAGGCTGACGAACAGAACTGCTACGGGTGAGAAAGTGATGTTTCGACAATTTCCGGGTCATCTTAATGAGCCGGTGTACTCTTGGCGCGAACCAAAATAAAGGTTGCTCAATAATTTAATAAGAAATGAATAGAAAGGTCCATCTTTTGGTAATTATTGTATTAGCTTTTACACAACATTAATTAGCTAAGTTTAAATTTGATTAGGTTGAGCATTTTGAGGAAATCCTCACAAATTCTATGACTCTCTAATGATTACAAGAGAACATTGCAATGACTTTTTGGCTGCTCTTTGACTGTTTCTCTTCACATACTCGAGTTTGAAGTTGTACATTTAAACAGTGCATCATGTTTGGCATCAGTGTTGGGGCAACTGAACAGCAGTGGCAGGGGAACTGACATCTAACATAAAAGTTAAGTGACAGGTGGGGCACAATAAGGTCAGCATCGGCGTGTCACCCTTCCAGACCTCTCAGAAACAGGGCGGCAGGAAAAGGCACGGTCAACTGCTTGCAGATGTGTCTGAATGTATGTTTCATTGGCAAACACGTGGCAGGCACCGTGCTCTGATGGTACCGCTGGTCACTTTTAATCTGCATCTTGCTGCCAGAAAGAGTTGCAACACTTCAGTCAGGACTTGTGTTTTTAATCTCAAACACACATCTCAAGTGTCTCTGACTCTAGACAAAATATTGTGACTAGGCTCCAGATAGCCCAAGTATTTAGTTCGAGTCAGCTTTGATGATGAATGAAAATTTTGTTGCCATGTTTTCAATTAATGATTTACAACCTCAAGCAAAAATTACACAGCAGCAAGTGATGTGTGAAATAGACACTGGATTTTTTTATATTTATACATTAACTCATGTTCCAGACAATTTTTTTTGCTGTTTGATGAACTGTGATAGCAGTACAGATGGTAATAAAATATAAATGTTTCCACTTGAGTTAATATTTGCAAACCACAACGATGAGGAATCTTCAGAATTGTTGGCAAATCGCTTTGTTTGCTTACTGTGGATTATTTTGAATCTGTCACTGAAACTACTGCAAAAATAAAATAATAATAGTAATAAAATAAGACCTAATAATATAAAATGACTGCTGATTGGAAGTAGCGAGTGGCACAGTAGCACAGCTAGTAGATCTTCAGCCTCTCAGCAAAAAGGTTGCAAGTTCAAATCCTGACCTGGCACCTTTTTGGGTTCTCTCTGTGCATGTGTTAGTTTTCTCCTGATACGCCAGTTTCTTCCCAAATATTAAAAAACATGCATGTTGGGTTGATTGGTAACTCTAAATTGTCTCTAGTTGTGAGAGAGAGAGTGAATGGTTGTTTGTTTCTATGTCAAGGTCAAGGTTTCTTTATTGTCATTTGCTTCATATGTGGTACATGTGGTAGAAAGAAACTGTACACAGGGTCCCAGTTACATCCAACAAAAGTATAAACTGTAAAAGAAAAACAGTAATAAAATCTAAGATATGAACTAAGAAATATGCTAAGCATAATAGTACAAAAACAATATACAGCACGGTGTGTGTCTCTGTGATGGACTGGAGGCATGTCTAGGATGTACCCAGCCTCTCACACAGTGACAGACATGGGCACCAGTGACCCCTGCAACACTGAGAGGACAAAATGGGTAAAGAAAACGAATGGATAGACAACGTACAAATAATAAAACATTTTTTATAAATGTATTTTTCATTTGTTTTTATGCAACCATCCTGAACGAGTTGTTCTAGCTCAAGCTTCTTTTGGGTTCAAAATAAAGCAAATTAAAACATGGGACGTCCAAAGTGTCTTACACTGATCACTACCAACCTTTAAAAAATGGAGCTGCACTCTGCTGCTCTTGAAGAACACACTGAGGGCATCTGGTGGACAGGTAGGACAGCACATTGATCGACAGGAGGAGCAGAGAAAGTGATGGATATCAGAAAGACATGCAAGGCATACAAAGTGTCTCACACTTTGATGCAAAAATGTAGTAGATCCTTTAAATGTGTTATTAATGTTTGTCTGTCACAGAGTGAGATTTCCTTTGGTTGTTTTTCTCACTTACCATTTGGTTTTTCTGGTTCTTCAGTTCATTCTTCCTGCCAGTTGTTCTCTATGTGATGTCCTTCTCCTGTGTTTGGCTCCCTCTTCCCAGGTGTTCCTTGTTCCTCTGATTAGCTGTGTCTGTATATATTCATGCTCTGTCCTTCACTCCTGGTCCATGCATTGTTTGGGACGTGTCGTCCTTGTGGGGTTTTTCTGTCTTGTTCATGTTCACCATTCCTTGTGAGTAATTTGCCAGACCAGAAGTAAACCCCGAAGAGTTTTGATTCAATACATATTTTTGTTATCTCTCCATCTCCATCTGCACTTGATTCACCTCTTAAGCCCAAACCTTACACCGTCTTTCAATACAGATTTCCTACCTTCGAGGGTAGCATCACCAGCTCATTTTCATATCCACGTGAAAGTCAGCAAGTTGACAAAGGAGAGAAAACATGTTTTTTTTTCACGCTGACAAATTGATACACGTGATTGTGATGGATTTCCTCCACCCATCTATTTTGTGACACTTGACAGTGAAAAATCAAAGCAGCAACCTATGACTGAAATAAGGAGCAACGTTTGTATGTGTGCCATTTTGTGAAAGCAAAACCCCAAATCACTGGTAAAGAGGGAGGGAAAACAACTTTTTTCCCAATATTTTCTGCCCTTCCTCAAATCTCTGTTTTCCACTAAGACAAGTTTTGTTTCTTCCTGGCTGTGTGTGCCTATTGATTGACAACTGGCTCCAGAGCCACTCAGGCCTCTTAAAATACCAGGCCAAGGCTTCAAGTTTCAGGCCCCGGCCTCGGGCCCCGCTATTGTGTGCGTCTGGAGGGCTGGCTCCATTAGAGCTGAGCCCAGTCAGTCCCATTTAGGCTGCTTTGTGTACCTCCACCTTAGTCGCCTGCCTAGTACCCACAGGGCCCCAGCTAGGTGGGGCTGACAGGGTGTCAACACTGACAAGAACATGGCATTTAAGAAGAGAGACAGGTAGACAGCACACAAGCCCAGACGCCTGCTGTGGCAGCAGCTCTCAAAAGTCTTTCCTTTCTTACACATCTCGCTCATCCTTTGTCTCTCATGGTGTTGGCATTGGTGTTCTGCTTTTTTAGTTCCTCAGCTGAGTTGTTTGTGTCTGTTAGGAGTTATAGTGCTCATATCACATATGTGTAACACAACGTGAATGGATATATAGCAAATGCACACCAGTTGTATTTATTTCTCCATAAATATGAGTCATTGTTCTTATATTCCAAAGCCAATGTGAAGGTCTGCCAACTGTTCTTATTGTGTTCATAATGATATGAAAAGTTTGCCTGTCATATGAACAATATACTGACAATAGTAAGCTCAAACACATGCTTTTCATTCATGTGAGTTGAATGTGTCATCTCCACCGTCTGCCCTACCTGACATTTTAATCAGGCTGAGTTGTTGCTTTGCCACATCCTCTTAGCCAACAGTCTCATCCGGAGAATGCGTGTAATGAAATTTGCCCTAAATCATGGACATCAGGCCGGAGGTCTAAAAGGTTAAGAGGAGCAAAGGGTCAGGCCCCATATAACGCTCCATGGGCAGAATTAAAAGGGAAAGGCTTCCTTTGTCCGAGCCACCTCAGAGGTCAAGAAGGTCAGGAGGTCAGTGTCAGAGGAAGGCCCGACTATGCTATTGCAGCACACTATCAACACAGCCCATAGAAAAAAATTGAAACTCACCTAATCAAAATTAGTCTTGTTTTTATTGGTCAGGGTTCAGCTGGGGGCACACTGACATGTTTCGCCATGCTTTAATTAGGAGAAGAATAAGTCCACCTTTGCAAATACATGTACATTTGAGGTCAGAGGACAGCACAAGGACCTGAGACATTATTGTCAGTGACCGCATCGTATCTGAATCCAGATGACAAAGGGACAAGAGGTTTTGGGGAGCAAATTGGATTCCCGTCAGACCCTCAGCTTATTGATAAAGATGACAGATGCTCGCATAAGCACGGTGAACCAGATTCAGACGTTAACACAGTTAACTGCTATTTGCTCGCAGAGCTATTATTCTAAATGGTATTATAGTGGGATGTGTGGCTGCAAGACATGCTGGTGGGTTCCTCGTTGGCCCTGTTTGCATGTGTGTACAAGTTTTA